TGACTGCCTCCCACCCACCCTCCCCGCCTCCCCTTGAGGGTCCGCACGCTGTTCCATGTGAAACCCATTTTTAATCCTCTGCCTTTAACAGAGGCCACTGTAGAAACGGGAGGGGCTCCGGGCCAAGGAAAATCCTGATTCCAGGAGCTTCCTTAGAAGGAGAAGGAAGTGGCTTTATGGGTCAGGGGAACCCAGACAAGGAGCTGGGGACCTGGGCTCCAGCCGCCCCTGTGACCTTCCTGCTGAGTGACCTGAGCTGGGTCACTTGCTTCTCTGGGCCTCGGCCTCCTCCTCTGTTCCATGGGGCTCGCTGTGCCTGGTGCCACCAGATCAGGAGCAGAACTGAGAGGGCGGGTGTGTGGGGTCCCCGCTGGATGACTTCTCTCCTACCCCCCACCTCCCGTGTCCCCACAGTCCCTGGCAGAGGGGCCTCCATCCCAGCCTGGGCCCAGTCGACTCAGGCCCGCAGAGGAGGAGCTGCCGCCTCCCCCAGAGGAGCCTGTTGGCTTCCCGGAGAGAGAGGCGTCCACAGGTAAGGGCACAGGGCTGGGGGGATAGAGGGGGCCCCGGGGGCCCTCGGGGGGCTGGCCTGGGCTTCCATGTGGGAGCTAGGACAGCAGGGACCACCGGTGTCTTCTCCAGCTCACGGTTCAATGACGGGCCTTATAGTTGTACAGCAACTTTCTTTTATTGCCTTAACTGTTTCTCCTGTAGCACTAAAACCCACTTAAAATTGGTCACCAGATTTGCTCTGATAGCAAAAATACCTTGAATTTTTCTCACTATTTACTTTTTTGAGTACAGAAGACCCTCACCTCATACAAAATAGAAACCATGAGAGGGTACACAGCGTGCTCTTCCCGAGTGCCCAGCTGTGAACATCTGGCCTCAGCACTGGGACGTACGCCTGGGATGTTTTCTGAGAAACCAGCAGATCCAACTCCTGGGGTGGAATGGGGGTCAGAGCAGGGTGGGAAGGAGGCCGAGGGCATCCACAGCGGGCTCTGGGGACAGCCCAGAGTGCACCGGCCTCAAGATGATTGGCCCGGATTGGGCCATTCTGGGGTGAGAACGGGCCTGAGAATTTGGGGGCCCCCATGACGTCCAGGAAAGAAAAGTGTGTGTCAGGTCCAAGGACGCCCCGTGGACTCGCGTCGGATGGTGCTCTCTCTGTCCGAATTCCGCGGCTGCCACTGTGCTTGGAAAAGTCACTTACCCTCTGGGGCCTCACTGGCCCATCTGTCGAGTGGGGGCAGGACGGGCTGTGTGAGAACTGGGTGAGCTGAGGCACAGAAAGCTCAGCCAGCGGCTGGCACACAGTGGGCACTTTATCCACCAGTGCCCTTGTTGTCGTTTCTTGGATTTAAATCTCAGATGCCCTCTGAAACTTGTTTATAAAAATAGGTAATGAATTTGTAGGAAAGTATAAAACCAAAGACGATGACAGCCAATATAAGCATATATACACTGAGTGGCCAGATTATTATGACCACGCTGCCCCATCCCCACATCACCCTGTTTCCTTCCCGACAGCCTCTGTTGTTAACATCTGTATATTCTTCCAGATGTTTTATGTGTATATTATTATTATTATTTGCATAACTAATTCACTTCATTGTACTGACGGGGTGGTCATAATAATCTGGCCACTCTGTGTACTTCCCAACAGCACATACAAAGGCAAGAAACAAAAGAGAAGTACTTTAAAGAACTTTTGAAGATTTCTTCACATACTGGTGTCTTTTTTGGAACAGATATTTTATTATCAGACTGATTGATACATTTTAACCAAACACATAAACCAATTTAAGAGGAATTTGCAAGCATATGGTGTTGTTTTTGTTATTATTATTCTATGTCAGTCGCCAAGATTGCCCACGGTGGCCAGTTGGACTGTATATGGAGGGAGGCCTTTGGGTGGCCACGTGGGCTCCAAGGCCACCGTTAGGGTCCCTTGGTGCTCATGCCCTGCCCGCCCAGCCCCACTTCTCGAGGTTTGCTCTCTGGGTCCCTATTTTCTCTCCTCCCCACGAACCTGTGGGCTGGGCTTTGAGTCCTTGTCAGGGTGACCCAGCTGGGGAGAGAGAGAGAGAGAGAGAGAGAGAGAGAGAGAGAGAGAGAAAGGGCATGTTCCCCCACAGGGTGCCAAGTGCAGCCCCGGAGCTGAGTGTGGTTGGTTTGCCACCCTAGGGCCTCAGCTCAGCCTTAGCCATGGAGGCTGCTGTCTGCAGAAACCACCCGAGAAATGAAAGGTGGGCTCTCCCTGGTCGGGGAGCCGCCCTGCTCCCGGGTTCATGCTTTGATGACTGTACCGTGCGCTGGACTTGGGTCCCACAGAAATCCCAGACACGGCTGATGGCACATGCGGTCACTTAGGGAAAGAGGGGTGCAGGCATGGTGACAGTGAGCCAGCGTGTCCTGGGATGGGCTGTCATCGCCCCATGGAAGCAGACAGCTGCCCAGGGAGGAGGTAATGTTTGAGCTGGGCCTCTAAGGAAAACAAATTCACCTTGAGGCGGGAAACACACCCAGGCAGGTGAGGGAGAAAGAGTGGAGGAAGGGTGAGAGGTCCAGGTGGTCAAAAAGAGGTTGAGGCCGGGGGAATTGGGGACTTGATCTTCAAGGTGGTCGGGAGCCGTGGAAGGCTTTTGAGTCCAGGAGAAACAGCCTCACACTCTAGAAAGATTACTCCAGGGAGCGGGTAGGAGGCAGGATTGGAGCCCACCGGGGCACCTGCAGCTTTGGATATGGGACTGGGTGCTATGATTCCAGCAATAGAATCAGCTTTGATTGAATATGGAGGCTGATGGTGGAGAAGAGGATGCTGGCCTGTGGGTTGGGCCGGAGAGGGCAGCAGAGCCAAGTGGCCAAGAACTTGGGCTCTGGGTTCAAATCCCAAGTTCTGCTGCTGCATGTCCCTGAACAAGTGACTTTCTTCACCTCCTGGTGGAAGGTGGGGGTCCCCGTCTGTAAGGTGGGGATCGCAGCAGTGCCCCTCCCCCAGCAGCGTTGGGGGATTGATGAGTTAATGGGCAGAAAGCGCTTATGGCCCAGGGTCGGTCTCGGTCTGATGGTTCTGTCCCCGCTGCCCAGATGCTCTGAGCAGGTCAGGCTGTCTCCCTCCCACCAAGGAGCTGGCCTGACCCTTGGGGACTTCAGCGCTCCCAGGAATCGGCCTCCGGGTGAGGGAGGGAACTAGGGGTGTGGCCTGGGCTGGGAGGGCAGTCAGCTTGCTGGATGGGAGCTGGAGGAGCTGTTCCCTTCCTCACTTTTCCGTGGAAGAAAATTAATCACCGGGAGGAGAACAGGGCAGGGTTGCCCTTTGCCCTCCCAGGTGTGTAGGTTGGGGGAGGGGCAGTCAGGACTATTGGGTCCCACCCTGTAGCCAAGTCACCTGGTAAACACCTGCCCGCCCCCAAGGACATCCCAGCCCCTTCCTTAGCTGGGCTGGGCTCTCTGGTGCGGTGGGGTGGCTGTGCCATCTTGTTAGGAGGAGGAAGGCTCCATGCCCCTGGGAGGGGTCTGTGTCCAGGAGGAGTGTACCCTTTGCCCTGAGCCCACGTTCCACTCTGTCCCCCAGCCCCCCCCGGAGCGAGGCAATGGCCTCACAGCCTGAGAAGCGGGTCGCCTCGTCCGTCTTTATCACCCTGGCACCCCCACGTCGAGATGAGGCTGTGGCTGAGGAAGTGAGGCGGGCAGCTTGCGAGGCCCGGCCTGGCCGCCCCTGGGAATCTGCTGCCCCCACGAAGGCACCTGGAGCTGGCTCGGCGGGGAGGCCCAGCCCCTGGACAC